ATTAACAATTCAAAAATAACATTTATTCTTGAGAAATTCGCGGGTGAAATAAACATGCCAATTCGGCTTCAGTCAATCGAACAAATCAAATAATTAATCACGCGAGCGTCAGGAATCAAACAACAAAAGGAATGATAGCGCGGACGCCAGAAATAAACGGAATATTACGTTATCGTATAGCAACCGCGCAGAAGGCGCTGCGATTAGATCAGAGAAATACGGTAGGACGAAACTTATAATTAAGATGGAACATTGACAGTAGACGCGGAACAATCACGGAAATAGAAAAGATAGTCTCGCAGGAAAGATCGCGAGAGGACGGGATGTCCCGCTCGGAGCACGTGGACGCCACGTATAGAGTCGCATGAGAATTCTGTCGCCAATTATCTTTAAGCCTAACACCAGTGGAATCGTGGTGTAAGCCGCGGCTCCACGTAATGAGAACCGTACGCAATGCAATAACGCGAGAAACTTCCGGCGCGATCGTCAAGAGACGCGAAATCTTATAACTAACGCGAAAATACGGACTTAATCTAACGCACGTAATAACTAAAATCAACGCAAGTTATTCAGATCGAATTCGGCACATTGTCTCCCGTGACTTTCGAACGCGAAGAATGATACGCCGAGATACTCGGCATAGCGCGAAATACGGAACGAACGCGAGGAAAATATATGCGGAATTACCGCGAGCACTAATAACACGCAATTACGACGGCGCTGTGCCGATCGCGAGAACGGAGTAATTCACGCGAGTAACGCTCTCCCGCAGTCAGCACGACTAATTCTTACACACCGCTACCGAAACAACGCGTCCGAACATAACTATCCTTACGCGAACACTTTCCTAAGGCAATTAGCCCACATAAACGTTGACGCGATTAATGTGCCGACGCAGCCGACATTCCGACCTACGCAATATTTGGTATTTCGATACGTCGTGAGCACCGTGTGCGCGAGACGCGACCGCAAGCGCGGATATTACATGAAGACGGACTCGCATTACCGGATTTCGCCAACAAATCTATCGCGATCTCCAGAGGCTTGTTATCACGTCGTTATCGCGATTCCGCGGCCACGATACCATCCCGAGGCCCTTCGCTCTCGCCGTCGATCGCCATTCGATACTCGGTCTCAAGGAACCGTACGCGTGTCGCGATGTTACAAACGTAATCCCGGGCGAGAGCGCGCACCGGAGGGCGGCGTCGTGGCTTTACATTTCGGTATCAAGTACTTGCGGGCAACCTCACCGATGCGATGTCTCCTCGTAGGGCTCCTCGCCGTCACCTCGTACCAAGTCGTCGCAGGACGAAAAAAATACCCGACTCGGGGCGCGAATCTGAAGAAAACCTTTCGTGTTCGGCCTCGCCGACGGACGACCAGAGAGTGTCTCGCTAAATCCGCTCGATTGCGGAATCGATGTGGCACCCCCTTTCGTAGGGGCGCGCCGACCAATCGAGAGCGAGCTTGCAAGCTCGCGCGATATTGTAACGCAGGATCGTCGTAAGGTGGATCCTTCGGGGGCGCGCAACGGTCCCTCGGCGGCGTAGCGACTCCTTCAATTTGTCCCTGGGCAGCGGACTGGACTTCGTTCTGGCCGGTGTGCCTCCGGTTTGACTTCGGGGCGGTGGACACCCACCCCGCGGGCCGGTATTTCGTGGAGGCAGATTGCTGAGGCCGGGTTTTCCCCAGGCGCCTGGGGCCCCGCTATCGGCGGCCTTGTCCATCGCTGCCTCACGCGCCGCACGCCTGCCGCGTTGCTCTCGCCGCCCGGGATCCCAGTGGTTTCCGCTTTCGCCACCCCTCCTCGGTCCTTGGTCCTTCCGTTACGTGTACTCCCTCGAAGATTCGTCGTGGTGGGGTGAGGCGCCGCGCGTATTACAATTGCATAAAAATAAAACAAATAGTCAAAACGCGGAAATGATATACATTTTTGGCCTCTGGAGATCTAGTCGTCGCCTCCCTGAGCGCGAATTTCCGCGCTTTGTGACGGCGGCGGGGCGCTGCCACGAAGCGGCGGGCCGCAACGTCACAATATATA